GTAATATTACGAGTTCTGGGGGAAACTAGTAATAATAAGAACGAGATAGATATTGAAAAGCCAGGGACCTTGGGTGATAAGGACCAGTAATGGGTTTAGTAGAAAAATAAAAATTTGAGCAGGAAGGGTAAAGAGAAAGGAGAGTCTTTCAATGTTTATTATGCTAATTGCCGTAGTGCTAGGAATAAGATGGACGAGTTGAGATTATTTTGCTAGTGCAGGTAACATTAACTTTAAATGTATTTGCCTTTAACTGAGACGTGGTTTTATTTCAAAAAGTCGGGACATGCCTGCGGAATGTCAAATTCAGGGTTTTAAAATTGTTCCAAGAAGATGAAGTATGGGAGGGGGGTGGGGTGGATTGTATGCCCGAGATCGCTTAAAACTGTGCATAAAAACGGTATTAAGTCTGAAGTAACACATACAGAGTCTGTTTGGATAGAATTTTCAGAGGGGCATGAAAAAACTGATTTTAGGAGTGATATACCGTCCCCCAAACTTAGATAGGGACCAAGGGAAACTACTATGGGAGGAAATTGTTAAGGCCAAAAGGGCCCACGATAATGTAGTAATCCTAGGAGGCTTTAACTTTAGTCATGTTGATTGGAATTTCTGACTGGGAATTTAGAATCATACGACTTCTTAGAAGTATTTCAGGATTGTTTTTTGAAGCAGTTTGTGACAGAACTACAAGGGGGAAATAACCTGCTTGACTTTGTTATGGGGAAACAATGAATCCCTTGTTAATAAATTTTGAAATTTCAGAGGAACTGGGTGCTAGCGACCACAAATCAATTACATTTAGCATTGAATGGAAGTACGATAGTAGCGATAACTCAGTACAGTCCCAGATTTTCGCTTAGCAGATTACGATGGGCTTTGAAAACACTTATCATCTGTTACTGGGGTAACGAAGAGAGCTATCAAAAATGACAGTTTTCTGAACACTTTACATGCTGCTCAAAGAGCGTTTATCCCATATAAAGAAATTAGATCAAATAGAAATGACCCAAAATGGATGAATAATAGGCTCAAATATCTACTAGGGCCCTAAGAAAGGAATTTATAGGCGTATCAAAAGAGGTGAGGGTCATCTTATGAATCAGTATATTGGCATTAAGAGGGACATTAAAAAAAGGGGTAAGAAAAGCTAAAAGGGACTATGAAATTAAAGTTGCTAGGGATTCTAAAACTAACCCAAAAAGTTTTTTTTCCCGGTCTATAGAACAAAAGTTAGAAAAAAGATAGGTCCCCTTTAAAAATAACTATGGGCACCTTACTGACAAAAAGAATGAAATGTGCTTGACTTTAAAAAATTATTTTCTCTCATTTTTTACACCCGGAAGACACTAACAATATTCCAGTAATTAATTTTTTCAGTGGGCTAGAAGAAGATAAATTATGTAACATCACAGTCACTAGTGAGATGGTTTGTGAAGCAGATAGACCGACTGAAGCAAAATAAGTCGCCGGGTCCTGATGAGGTTTTTTCAAGGGTTCTTAAGGAATGCAAAATGGAACTCTGTGAACCATTAACTAATATTTTTAATTTATCTCTTCAAACAGGTGTAGTGTTGATATGTGGAAGATGGCTTAATGTAATTCCTATTTTTAAAACCGGGGGACAAGTCGTTACCGTCCCAAATTAAACCCCCCAATAAGCCTGACCTCAATTGTAGGCAAATTGCTAGAGTCAATTTTAGCTGAGATTATAAGAAGCCTCTCGATAAGCATGCTTGATTAATGATACTCAGCATGAATTCACAAGAGGCCAGTCTTGTCTAACTAATTTATTAACTTTCTTCAGTAAAGCTTTTGAGGCTGTTGACCACAATAAAGAATTTGATATTATTTACTTAGATTTTAGTAAGGCTTTTGATAGAGTTTCCGCACCATAGACTGTTAAAGAAAGTGGCAGCTCATGGCATTGGGGAAAAGTGCTCTCGTGGATCGAGTCATGGCTCACTGACAGAAGCAGAGATGTCCATAAATGGGGTTAAATCCGAGTGGGGATCTGTAACAAGTGGCGTTTTCACAGGGATCAGTCTTGGCCCGTTGTTGTTTATAATTTTATCAGTGATCTTGATGAGGGAATTACTAGTGATATGAGCAAATTCGCCGATGACACAAAGATAGGTAGGATTAATTGATTCAAACGTAGATGTTTATGGAACTTCAGGAGGATTTAAAACAAACTCTATTTTTGGTCAGAAAAATGGCAGATGCAGTCAATGTAGATAATGCAAGGTTCTGAAGCTTGGGAGTGCCCATAACCCAGTACTTTATAAGTTAAATGATGTAGAAAATTAGCCATACAGATTGCGGAAAAGGACTTGGGGGTTATGGTGACCAGCAACCTTAACCAAGACAGCAATGCCTAAGCGTACGTAATAAGGCAAATAGATTACGGGGATTTATATCAAGAAGTGTAAGCAACAGAAGTCCAGAGGTCATACTGCAGCTTTATACATCATTAGTAAGGCCTCACCTAGATTATGCAGCTCAGTTCTGGTCTCCGTAATTACAAAATGGACATAAATTCGTTAGAAAACATTCAGCGTAGGATGACTAAATTAATACATAGCATTAGAAATCTTCCTTATGAAGAAAGATTGAAGACTTTAAGTTACTTTTCACTTGTTAGACGAAGAATGAGGGGAGACCTGATCGAAGTGTATAAGTGGAAGATAGGTATTAATAAAGGGGATATTAATAAGGTCTTGAGGATGTCTCTCCAAGAGAGAACCCACAGTAATGGATTTAAATTAGATATGTTTAGATTTAGAAAGGACATAGGAAAAGTATTGGTTTGGAAATAGGGTAGTTGATGAGTGGAACAGTCTACCTAGTTGGGTTATTGAGGCTGGGACTTTGGGTAGTTTCAAATTTAGGTTGGAGAAGTACATGAGTGGGAGGGGTTGGATTTGAGTGGGACTTTCACATCAGAGCTTATTTCTTGGGTGGCATTGAAAATTGGGTTGGGCAAATGTTTTGTTAGTGGGATGAATTGTAAAGGACCTGCCTAGTATGGGCCAGCAGGCCTCCTGCAGTGTTCCTCCTTTCTTATGTTCTTATGTAAGTACCGACCCTAATTTTTTTTATTTTAATCCTATAAAACTTAGAAAAATGTTCTCTTTATTTCTATATAAAACAATTTTTTCATTTTTCAAAATATTCGGGGCACTGGGACACATATATATACGTTTAGGGGTTAAACAACCATGGTGACATTACACATCCCTGTCTAAGACCTACTTTTACAGGGAAGTAATCTCCCTCTCTTCTACACACCCTAACTAAATGCTGTAAAGAGTTTTTATGAGGATCTCCCTAAGTCTTCTTTCAACACACCGGCCGTATCCCACCGAGGCGGGGTGGCCCAAAAGGAAAAACGAAAGTTTCTCCTTTTACATTTAGTAATATATACAGGAGAAGAGGTTACTAGCCCCTTGCTCCCGGCATTTTAGTCGCCTCTTACAATACGCATGGCTTACAGAGGAAGAATTCTGTTTCACTTCCCCATGGAGATAAGAGGAAATAAACAAGAACAAGAACTAGTAAGAAAATAGAAGAAAACCCAGAGGAGTGTGTATATATGCTTGTGCCGACTCTAAAAAAAAAAATCTTATTTTTTATATTACTTTAAGTAAAAAAAATGTTCTCTTTAAATTTTTTTATTTTTTAAATATTTGGAGTGATGGGCAAGAGAAAGTAGATCTACATTTGGACAGTTAAGGGTTTAACCCTTTCAGAGTCCAGAGGCCAAATTTCAGAGTGCGCACCAGGGTCCAAGAATTTTCAAAAAATAGTTTTGTTATTTTTCTTATGAAATGGTAGATAATCTTTTTCTGAAGGTAATAAAACAAAAAATACGAAATTTGATGGAAAACTAACGAAATAATGCTCTCGCGAATTTTGATGTGTCGGTGAAATTTACGCATTGCCGATTTTGCCGCCTTTGACTCCCATTTTAGGGCAATTACACTATTCCAGTCAACCAAATTCTTAGCTATTTCACTAGTATTACTTTTATTCTATCGACTGAGCACAAGAAATCTCCAAATCAGCTGTTTCAACAACAAAATAAAGTGACCGGAAATTGGTAATTTGGCCAATTTAATGCAAAGTTCAAAATATTTCAATTTCAAAATAGGGTCCAGATTAAACAATGCAGGCATTCCTGGCACTAAACCAACATTTCCTCTGTTCATTAGTTATGTTTTCAGGCTTTACAAATGAATTCCGTTTTTATTTTTTATTCACATAATAAATTTTTATTCAAACCAAAAATAGAAGATTTACTGTTATGCAATGTATAAATAATATCACCACATTTGTGAATGTATCTTATACCCACCAGCTGTCATGTATTAGACTTGAGAGGTCATTTGTTTACTCTTGAACATCGGCAAAAATTTAACATTTCTGCTATTTTGAGCTCAGTTTCAAGCCACTTCCAGTACTATCAAATGAGACCAAGAAACTGCAAATACAACTATAAAAAACATATGAAAAAACACTGCAAAGTCGCCGTTTTAATCGAAAATTACGGTCTCGTTTTTTTCTCTCATTATGCACTGTGCTGCAGGAGTTGTTTTATGTATTCTCTCATATCTAGGCCCAAATTTACTGCTCACAGCTTATCAGAGTGAGCTGAGCTCGTGATACAGATCTACGGTTTGAACCCTGAACGTAGAGCTGTAGATCTACTGAACGGACCCTGAAAGGGTTAATATAAGATTCAAAGTAGGCAAAATCGTCAATGTGAAAATTACACCCAGATTGCAATTCCATGAGGTTTCCATCAAATTTCATGCTTTTGGTATAATTACCCTCAAAACAGAAGACTCTCCACCATTTCAGATTTTTTTTGTCTTAAATGTGCACATAACAATATTAATTTTGAGGGGCTGATGGCTGGACAGTGAAAGGGTTAAGAAACATTAAAATAGCTATAACACAAACACCAATATTAGTAAAGCAAATTCACTGATGCTGACCTTTATTCCATTGAGAATTTCGTTCATTAACTTAACACGGTGATCCTTATTCTTCATCTGACTCAACTGAAGTTGCTTGGTTTTATTAGCAATAACACCATTCACAGGAATGAGCACTATCATAACAGCAAGTCCAGCAAGTACTGAGGGCCCTAATAGAAAAGAAACAAAAAGAAATAATTACAATATTTCCATATAAATGGCACAACCAAATCTTTGCAGGTTCTGTAGAAACCATACATGTACAATAACCACCAAGGTGTCAAATTATAATTCTTTACTAAACTTCATATTTTTTTACACCTCAACTAAGTAAGTTGATAAGGCTCTTTTGGATAGCAGCTGTCTATATATTCACTTATGATAAAATTTCACACCACATCTCATGTCCAGGCTCCAAATTGTCTGCAAAATATCAACAAGCCTCTTTATATACATAGTTCAATTAGAGGTCCACCCATTATCATTTACCCCTGGCACTCCAAAACTTAACTACTATGCCTTCTAGCATATAGGTTCTCCGCAACAATTATTTTTCTCAACTGGTTCAAATTTCCCTAAACTTTCAATTAACACTTTCCAAATCTCTTCTTTACACACTTCTCTTCCCCAGGTACATAAATACCTACCATAACCCACTTCTCACATTGCACCCATATTCTAATCCATATAATTCTTGAATTTAAACACTTGTACCCTCCTCTTCTCCTACTCATGATGCCCCGTGGCCTGGTGGCGAAAGCTCTCGCTTCACACGGTGATGGTCCGGGTTCGATTCCTGGCTAGGGGATGGAAACATTGGGTGTATTTCCTTACACCGGGTGTCTATATTCACCCATCGGTAAAATGGGTACCTAGGTGTTAGTTGAATAGTGTGGGTCGCATCCTGGGACAAACCTAATTTGCCAGAAATGCTCAGTAAAACAAGTGGCTTTCTATATAGTAGTATGTTACTGATGTCAGCTAGGCTTGTATACCTTGTACATGTACTTGTAGTAATAAAGATAATATATTATTATTATTCCACAGTTGATCATTTAACGTTACTACTACTAGAATTCTTGGCTTCATATCTAGAAGTATAAATAATAGAAGTCTTCAGGTTGTTCTTCAACTCAATTTATCCTTGGTTAGGCCTCATTTAGACTATGCTGCTCAGTTCTGGTCACCGTATTACAGAATGGATATAAATGCTCTGGAAAACGTACAAAGGAGGATGACAAAGATGATCCCATGTATCAGAAATCTTCCCTATGAGGATAGACTGAAGGCCCTGAATTTGCACTCTCTCAAGAGGCATAGAATTAGGGGGGATATGATCGAGGTGTATAAATGGAAAACAGGAATAAATAAAGGGGATGTAAATAGTGTGCTGAAAATTTCCAGCCAAGACAGAACTCGCAGCAATGGTTTCAAGTTGGAAAAAGTCAGATTCAGGAAGGATATAGGAAAGTACTGGTTTGGTAATAGAGTTGTGGATGAGTGGAACAAGCTCCCGAGTACAGTTAATGAGGCTAAAACGTTGTGTAGTTTTAAAAATAGGTTAGATAAATACATGAGTGGGTGAGGGTGGGTGTGAGTTGGACCTGACTAGCTTGTGCTGCTGGGTCTGGTACAGTGCTCCATCCTTGAGTGGGGATGACCACACTGGGCGGGTCATTGGGATAATCTGGAGGGTGGGTCATTAGTCTAATCGGGCGGGGGGGGGGGGGGGGGTATGGACCTGCTCCGCATGGGTCAGTAGGCCCGTTGCAGTGTTCCTTCTTTCTTATGTTCTTACTACCTTTCCTTTAGTCTCTTGTATATGCCCAGTTTAATAGTATTTTTGGTAAACTATTATTGCTATAAATTGAGGAGTGAAAATATTTACCTAGGATTTGCCACAAGAAATATAATGCAAGAGCAATCTGGAGTGGTGCTGACCACAGCATGTTGATGTATGTTGTAAGGTCCATAAAGCGTTGTGCATCTACTGCCATTAAGTTAACTATTTCTCCAACTGTCGATTCTTTTCTGGCAGAGTTGGAAATACGTAGAGCCTGAAAAGTACACAAAGTATGTTTAACTTTTAATTCAAGCATAGAAAAGATATTAGCAAGACTATGGATTATCCAAATATTTCAAGTTAGTAGATTCTATTGTTACTCTGCTCTGATTCCTTGTAAAATGTTTCATTCTAAATATTAATATTTTCTTTTATTAACACATTGGCTGATTCCCACCAAGGCAGGGTGGCCCGAAAAAGAAAAACTTTCATCATCCTTCACTCCATCACTGTCTTGCCAGAGGGGTGCTTTACCAAAATTTTAAAAAACTAAATTTTTAAACACCCCTCCTTCAGAGTGTAGACACTGTATTTTCCCATCTCCAGGACTCAATCTGGCCTGCCGGTTTCCCTAATCCCTTCAAAAATTTACTTTGCTCACCCCCAAACCCGCACGTAAAGTTTTAAAAAAAACCCCAATTTCGCCCCCAAAATTCACCCTATCAAAAACGCTCATGCATGCTTGCGGGAAAGGGCCCCAACCCCCTTGCACACCAAACCCCCTTTAAAACCCCCCTCCCTGCAGCCCGCCCCTAGGCCAAACCCCAAACCTTTCCTTTCCCCTCCACTACAGATTTAAACACTCTAGAAGCCCCATTCTGTTTTGTTCCATTCTCTCTACATGCCCTGAACCACCTCAAAAACCCCCCTCCTCAACCCTCGGGATAATATTTTTTGGAAAATCTCAAAAACCTTCCCCCTAATTTCAAACTATGAATTCTTAAATTATATTTCCCCACCAAAACACTGCCCTCATAAAAGAAAAACTCCACTGCCTCCAGCCTTCTCCTCGTTAAAAAACATTCATCACCCATGCTTCACAACCCATACAAGAGTGTTGGAACCTTTACCCAACCAATTCCCCTTTTTTGCTTCCATGGGACAAAGTCTTTTCCCCTTCACAGACTCCAAAGGGCACCATTTCACCCTTTTTTTTTTTTTTTTATTATTATCACCCCGGCCGATTCCCCCCCAAAGGGCAGGGTGGCCCAAAAAGAAAAACTTTAAAACCATCATTCACTCCATCACTTTTTTGCCAAAAGGGGTTGCTTTACACTACAGTTTTTAAACTGCAACATTAAAAACCCCCCTCCTTCAGATGCAGGCACTGTACTCCCATCTCCAGGACTCAAGCCCGGGCCGGGCCTTTCCCTGAACCCCTTCAAAAATTTTTTCCTTTGCTCACACCCCAAAACAGCACGTCAAGATTAAAAACCATTTGCCCCTCCTTTTTCACTCCTATCAAAAAAACCGCTCACGCATGCCTCCCGGGAAGCCAAGCCCCTCGCACACAAAACCCCCTTTTTACCCCCCCCCCCAAACCCCTTTCCCTAGGCCGACCCCTACCCCGCCTTCCTTCCACTCGACTAAATACACTCTTAAAGCATTCGTTTCGCTCCATTCTCTCAAACAGTCCGAACCACCTCAAAAAACCCTTCCCAGCCCTCTGGACAAACATTTTTGGTAATCCCGCACCTCCTCCAAACTTCCAAACTACGAATTTCTCTGCAATATTCAAAAACCACAAATTTTCCCCCTCAGACATGACATCTCCATTTGCCTCCACCCTTCTCCTCCTGCAAAACATTCATCACCCCACCCCTTCACACCCAATAAGACGTTGGAAAAACTATACTCTCATACATCCCCTCTTTCCCCTCCAAGGACAAAGTTCTTTGCCCTCCACAGACCCAAAGGGGCACCACTAAACTCTTTTTCCTAAACAATTCTATGATTCACCTCATCTTTCATAGACCCATCCGCTGACACGCCACCCCCCAAATACCCTGAATACTTTCACCCTCCTCCATACTCTCTCCCCCAATCTGATTTTCAATCTTTCATCCCCTTTAATCTTTTTGTTATCCCCCAAAACCCCTTACTTTTTTTCCTGTATTAAACCTTTAATTTTCTTTTTTTTGGCAAAACCCTACCAAATTCACCCAAACCAATCCGGGCAACTTCTTTTCAGAATCCCCCCCAAGAGCACAGTTTTCATCACCCAAAACAGTGGGGGACAATCCCACTTTGTGTGTTTTTTTTAAATTTTTTTAACTCCCACGCCTTTTGCCAAGACCCCGCATTTACTTCTCTTACAACCCCATTATAAATATATTAAAAAACCCAAAGGTGACATCACACTCCTTGTCTAAGGCCTACTTTTACGGGGAAAAAAATTTTCCCATTTTTCCTACATACTCTAACTTGACCCTCACTACCCTCGTAAAACTCTTCATTTGTTTTTCCCAGAAACCCCCCTCCTACACCATACACTTGAAACATCTGCCACTTTGGCCCCCCTATCCACCCTGTCATACCCCTTTTTTCCAAACCCATAAATCCCACAAAACCTTTTTACCCTTTATCAAAATACTTTTTTCCCCGGTTTATTTTTCCCACGGAAAACCCACCTGGTCCACACACCCCCTATTTTTCCCTAAAGCCCCCTTTTTCATCTGCTATCCTTTTCCCTCCTCTTACTCTTAATTCTTTCAATTATAACTCTACCATACATTTTTCCCCGGTCCCCTCAACAGACTTATACCCCCTATTTTTTTTTGCACTCTTTTTTAAACCCCCCTTTCCCTTTTATACAAAGGAACTATGAAATGCTCCCTCCCCAACCCCCTAGGTCCCTTCCCTTTTTCCATACATTTATTAAAAAAATTGCACCAACCCACTCCAAAACTATTTTTCCCCACCTGCTTTTAAACATTTCTTTTCTTTATCCCATCAACCCCCGGCTCCCTTTAAACCCCCTTTCTTTTTTACACTGCCCCCTAATTTCCCCCAAAAACCCCCAACGGGCTTTTTCCTCACTCCTACAAGATTTATTCCTCCTTGCCCAAATACACGAAATCACAGCTTCCCAATTTTCCCTTCAACTTTTAAAAATTTCCCCAAAAATTTTCCCTTTCCATTTTCCCCAAAACCCAAACCCCCCATTTAAAAAAACCCCTCCTCTCCTATTTTTAACTGCCAAATCCATTTTTTTTCTCGGGGCTTTTTTTAAACTTTTTAATCTCACCAATTCCTCCAAAACTTTTTTTCTTTTTTTCCAAAAATTTTGTTTAACATCTCACCCACTCTCCCCTTTTTGCCCCCTTTTTACATTGTTTTTCACCCCCCTCTCTTAATTTCTCTCTTTTTCCCCCCAATACTTTTCCCCCTCCTTGCTCACTTCTATTTTTTGAAAAAAACTTCTCAATGCAAAAATTTTTCTCCCTTACTACCCTCTTTAAAATCATCATTCCACCAATGGGCTCCTCCCCCTTCCCGCCCCCAACTTTCCTTTTAACCCCAAATTTTCTGCGAACACTCTAACACTACATTTTTAAAACCAAACCCCATACCTCTTCGACCCCATTGCCTTTTCTCTCATTACCCCATTTTATCCTCCAATAGCGGGTTTATATCTTACCCTAACGGGCCTCCTCTTTAGTTTAAAAAACCTTAAACCCCTTTTCCCCCTATGTTTCTTTTCTCCTTGAAATCCCATCAAACCTTTTTTACTCTCATGTAGCTAAACTAAAAAAGTGATCTGATAATTTTGGGGCCCCCTCTAAAAACATGTACATCCTGAAGTCTACTAAACACCCTTTTATCTCCCAATACAAAATCCAACAAATTTACTGTCATTTCCCCCCTACATCATATCGTGTATATTTAAATTTATCCCTTTTTCTTAAAATATTTTATTACCTAAAACCCAAACCCCCCCTTTCTTTAAAAAATTTCAATAAAAGGGGCCCCCCCATTATCTTTTTTACACCTGGCACCCCCAAACCCTTAAACCTACCACACCCCCTCTAAAATTTTTCTCCTATTTTAGAAATTTTCAAGCCCCCTCCCCACAATTACTCTCTCACGGGTTTCAAAGGCTCCTATACATTCATTTAACCATCTCCCAAAATCTCCCCTCTCTCCCTCTGCATTCCTCTCTTCCCCGGGTGCATACCCGCTTAAATTTGACCCCCCCCCCTCGCACCCAAACCCTTTACTTTAATCCACATAATTCTTAAATTTTTAAAACATTCAAAATTCCCTTTTTTTTCCTCCTTCCAAAACTGACATTTAACATTACTGCTCCCCCCTTCCTTTGCTCTAACTCTCCCCCAATACCCATTTTTAAATCCCATTTTTTTCCCCCCCCCCTTGAAAACTCTCCTACCCCCTTCAGTTTTGTTTCGTTTAAGGGCCGGGACAAACCCCAACTTTTTTTCCCTTCATAACATCACAATCATCTGTTTCTTGTCACCCCGCACTACTCCACGACTTTTAAAAGCAACCCATTTTTATAAATTTTTTTCTTTTTCTTTTTTTTAGTAATTTTTATACAGGAAAGGGGTTACTACCCCATTGCCCCCGGGCTTTTTTATTTCGCCTCATACGACCCCAAATGGCTTACGGGGGAAAAAATTCTTTTCCCCCCCCCCTTTGGACAAAGAAGAAAAAAAAAAGAACAAAGCTTTTTTAGAAAAAGGAGAAAAAAAACCCAGATGTATGTAAAATATAATATGCTGTGCGGGCCCGTGAAGTGTGACCAAAGTAAATAGGAGAGCAAGATATCCCTTTTTCTTTGGGGTGTTTATGAGACGAAAAAAAACCAGCAATCCCAAACCCTCAAAGCAAAAAAATTAAAAGGGTTTTTTTTTCCCCGGGCATCTGGCAGGGGCGGTAGTACTTCCCTGGGGGTTGCTGTCTACCCCAAACCCACTCCCCACATTAAATTTTTATGATTTTACCCCATCCTTCATAGACCTCTGCTGACATGTTCCCCCCCTAAAAAACTGAATCATTCACCCCTCCTACTCTCTCCCTCCAATCTGATATCCAATCTTTTATACCTAATTTTTTTTTTTTTTTTTTCGGTTTAAAAAACCCGTCACCATACTCTTTCCTAATTTTACTTTTTAATTTTTTTTCTTTACCCTACCCCACCAAATTCATCCACCAACCTCTGTAACTTCCTTTCCCGGAAAAAAAAAACCCCAA